TTTTGTTAGTGTAAAAGGTTGTGATGCCTTTTTGACGTGATGTAGGCTCTTTGAGGAAGGCCCTTGGGAGGTTGAGGAATTTTACATGGCCAATCTGATAGAATTGACAAATAGTGGGTTGTACGTACTGTATATAGTAGAATGTGTCTTGGTTTGTTAATAGGAATTGCTTTTGGAGGGACTTGAAGGATTTAGGGATATTTTCGAAAAGGTCATTGATGTAAGATATACCTTTGGAAATCCAATTGGAGTAGGATATATTGTCTACAAATTGATATAGATGATGCTTGGCTCAAGCTCCAAGCACTATAATTAGGAGTGCAGGGGGAAGAGCAAGTGTCAACTAAACTATTCTCAGCTCTTACACAGCAGAGCACACCACAACTTGCAGCCCTGTGTCTCTTTTGCTCTATCCATCTACACTGGCAGAAAGAATTAGCCCACAACTAACCGCAGCTATTCTGGGGAGGAAGACTAGAACAGTAGTTGGTGTGTGTTGTTGTGGACTTGTGTTTTTATAAACAATGTCACACATTGCACATTGTCATTCCAAACACCAGACACCAACAGTCACTACTCTAGTCACTGTCCCCAGAATATCTGGTGGGTGGGTCTGGGCTCAGTCTTCCTCCAGTGTGAAAGGCAGAGAAATAGAGCAGAAGAGGTGCAGGGCTTGAAGACTAGTTGGCAGAGCTGCAGAATGAAGAGGGTGAGGTAGATTGACTGCTGTGCTGTAGATCCTCTATGGAAATACCCATCAATTGGGCTTCAGCCTGGTGTGGAGCTACAGCACAAACAGAAAAAGACATGTCCTTTGCAAGCTTCTGCACTGTTTTAAACAGGATCATGTTCTGTGTGCCATGGGGGTTTCAAGAAGGATGATCAACCTCTGGTGTTAATTCTTTAAAGTTTCCCCTGTTTTCTTCCCTGGAAAACTTTACTGATATATTGATTAAAATGCATAGTTTATGCTGCATCCAGCAGCTCCCAGGTAAGTATAATTTAAAAAAAAAAAAAAATCCCCAATTTTTTTTTTTTTAAGTAACTATACAATCATCCAAATTGCAGTGCAATGTGGTTAGCCACCAAAGAAATTAACCGTATTTTCCGGCGTATAAGGCGACTGGGTGTATAAGACGACCCCCTAATTTTCCAGTTAAAACATAGGTTTTGGGCTATACTCGCCGTATAAGACTACCCCCCCTTCCAAGGCAACACCTTTTTAAAAAATCAGATTTTTTTCATTGAAATGGTTTAATGGTACTTAAAATCCTTCAAAATCCTCATGTTCATCCTCTGACATCATAAGTTCATGAATGATATCTTGTGATACATTTGTAAGACCGTCATCATATGGATCAAATTCCAAATCAGATGGTTACCGCTGAATGTGCAGTAATACGGTAGCTTCGGCTACATACAGTATATATACAGCCCGCTGGATGTGCAGTGTTGTACATACAGTATACCGCACTGAGCCAAGCTGGCTCAAAACAAATGTCCCTATGACAGACAGATTAATCTGTCAGCCCGCTGGATGTGTGGTATATACAGTATACTGAATATATACCACTGTGGTATATATAGTATACTGAGCCAAGCTGTTTCAAAACGTACCGGTACATCCCTACAGTAATCAGACCGCTGGATGTGTGTATGTACAGTAGCTTAGGCTACATACAGTATACGCTGGGCCAATCACGGCGAGCAATGTTTTCTACTAATGAATACAAAGCCTGCTCAGATTGGCTGAGGTTGTGCCATCATCAGCCCACCTCTCTGACTCGGCCATACCGAGCAGGCTTTGTATTCATTAGTAGAATACATCACTCGTCGTGATTGGCCCAGTGTATACTGTATGTAGCCGCAGCTACTGTACATACACGCATCCAGCGGGCTGATTACAGTAGGGATGTACCGGTACATTTTGAAACAGCTTGGCTCAGCGCAATATACTGTATATACCGCACATCCAGCGGGCTGACAGATTAATCTGTCATAGGGACATTTGTTTTGAGCCAGCTTGGCTCAGCACGGTATACTGTATGTACAGTATTACCACACATCCAGCCAGCTTGACCCAAACTAACTCAAGGTTCACATTTTATACCCCGCGTATAAGATGACCCCCAATTTTTGGGGTATATTTTTAAGTATAAAAAGTAGTCTTATACGCCAGAAAATACTGTAAGTATATTTTGGAGTCAATTCATAATAGAATTCATAATAGTACCTTTATCACATTCCAAAATCAAAAAGAAGAAACACGACTTACACATTGAATTTTTCAAATACCTTTTTTTGTGATCTATAATAACGGCCCAGTCATGTTTGCTACTCCATCTCTCTTGAAGAATTACAGGACTCAGTGCAACATAAGATGACTACATATTTGTCATTTTTTTACAATTCCTTTAGGCTCCAACAATTCAATCATTCCTATGGGCCAAATACAAGAAATGTGGAACATTTTAAATTTAGTTGAAAACTGATTTACTGACAATCTGCAATGTGGACTAACCGATTTAATTAAATTTGTCCATGGTTTATACTACATACCAGAGAGACTCCATAAAGTGGACCTTTAAATATGCAAACAGCCTTTGATGCCACAATATTCGTGCTATTTCATGTTTTGGAATTGCACTCAAAATCTTTCATTAGGAATACTGTTTACTGTAGCCATGATATTACCTTTCATTCATTTGGTAAATTATGCTTTACCAAAATACAAGATAAAATGGGTTGTTGTATATAATACTTACCACAAATGAGCATGGTCTTTCTGCACATTCTTAACAAGGTTGGTAATTGTATACTTTGGATATGGCAGCTGTTTTGTTTAAAAACATTTTTTCTTCTCTCCAGAACAAAAGGCTGGGAGCTTTGAATAAGTTCAAGGCAAAATCTCGCTCAGTTCTCCTTGCCACTGATGTTGCAAGTCGTGGACTTGATATTCCACATGTGGATGTTGTGATAAATTTTGACATTCCGACACACTCTAAGGTGAGTTTAAAGCTCAGGCAATCTAGCCGACCTTGCGGTAAGTGATTCCATCAAGGCAAGAACAATTACGTATAAGTGGCTATTTTCATTGTAATGGTATTTTGAATTGTGTATGCAGAATAGGATTCTATAATCCTAGCAAGTGACCTGTTATTTATTCGTCAAATAATATTGACATGTTTTGGATGTGTCAGACTTAAAGTGGTTGTAAACCTTTACACATACCCAGTGAAATGTCAGATGATACACAGAGATGAAACGAATTCACCTACATAGGTTATGTCTGTTTATAGTCTTCTCTTCAGCCATTCAGAGTGCAGAATGTTTACAGCTTGTCTGAACTTTTCAGAAAGCAGGGAGCAGACAGCTGTTCTGTCATTAGACCTTCTGCAGAGTGAGGAGGGCTGAGAGTTATTTGCGGTGTAAGGTGCCTGCACTCCTTTGAGTAAGGGATTTTTTTGTTCCAAATCTTGTGTAGAAAAGAATAGCTGAATCTTGGCTTAGCAAAAAGTTGAAACCTATTTAGGGCACTGAGGTGTTCTGCGTTTTGAGGAGGTAGAAGCCCCTGAAGGAAGAGATTTTGGAACTTTCTGCTGTGGAAAAAGGACCTTTCCACTAGTGACATCTATGATGAATTTGTCAATGCCTACCTCATTAGTGCTTTTTGCCCTTTTTCAGTAGGAAACCTTTCCAGTTTGTTGCTCTGCCATTAAACCCTCTTCTGTGCACCCAGAGTATTCACAAAGATACTTGCACCACTACGTACCCTTTTAAGAACTCAGGACATTCAAGTAACTGGGTTCCAAGATGACCACCTTCTGAAGGACTCTCCTCCCTTCCAAATATCTGCCATCAGTCCACAGCATTATTCAAGATACTTCAGGCTTTTGGTTTTATCAGCTTTCAAAAATCTATTCTCCAAACTTTCCTTCACCTCAAGTACTTGGGTCTTGTGGACACAGCCCAAGCAAAAGTCTTTACTTCCAGAAAACCCATCACTCTCAGATCTCATGCTCAGATATTAAGACCAAGGAGACATCCCTCTGTGAGATTCTCCATGAGAGTTCTGGCCTTTTTTGGAGGCTGTCCCCTTCTCTCAGTTCCACTAAAGGCCTCTTTAGCACAACATCCTGATGGCTTGGAACATACACGCTCTCTCCCTTGCCACCCCTATGCTTCTCTCCAGGGAAAGGAACCTCTCTAGCTTGGTGGATTTCCAATCCAGCATTCACAATGAAAGTAAATCTGCTTCACCTATGGATAGTAATAACAGTTTCCAGTATCTTAGGCTGGGGAGAAGTGTTCCAGTCTCTCACATTTCAAGGAATATGGTCACTAAAGGAAGCCAAGCTCCCTATCAACATCCCGAGAAAGCAGTGAAAGGGGGGAGTGGGGGGGATGTCCCTTCCCACTGCTTGCAAAAGCAATCCAGTGGCTAATTATCTGCTACAAATGCTTTTACATGAAAGCTGACCGCCAGCTGAAAAAAAAACAATACCAGGATGATGCCTGTAACTGCAGGCATCATCCTGATATAACCACACAAGAATAGACCACATCTTCATGACCGCTAGCTCCTCCCCCCGGCTCTTAGCTTCTGATATCATCCCCATTCCCTGGTCAGACCATAGCGTTGCACTCACTTCCATCGCCTCTTTGGCACCATCCCATCCTGATTCCTCTTGGATCATCAACCATAACCTGTTAGCAAATCCGACACATTGTTCAGATATCGAAGCCGCTCTTAAAGATTATCTAGCTCTAAACAAGACCCCAGATATTTTCCCTCTCCTACTTTGGGAAGCTCATAAACCAGTTCTACGCTGGTACTGCATTAGCAAAGCGTCTTTTTTTTAACCATCTCCCGCTCGCCCGCCATATAGTAATATGACGGGCGCAAGGTGGTTCTCTCTTTTTGGGAGGACGTCATATGACATCCTCCCAGTCTCACTGTGCATGCATGGCTCAGGGAGCGCACAGCGCGCCTATCGGCGATGCACTGTGTCCCTCGGACACAGCGGATCACCGATCATGGAAAGAGCCGAAGATGTCGGCTCAGTCATGTAATCAGCTGTGTCCAATCACAGCTGATCACATGTAAACAGGGAAATACCGGTTATCGGCATTTCTCTCCTCTTGAGCTGTCACATTGACAGCTCGAGAGGAGAGGAGAGCCGGTAATCGGCTTTCCGCGGAGGGGACATGTACACTAATCATCAGGGCACTGATGATCGGTGTGCCCTGATGATCAGTGTAGCCCCAGCAGTGCCACCTGTCAGTATCCATCAGTGCCTTATGTCAGTGCTCATCAGTGCCTCATGCCAGTGCCTATCAGTGCCACATATCAGTGCCCATCTGAGCTGCCTTTCAGTGCCACCTGTTAGTGCTGCCAGTCAGTGCCACCTATCAGTGCCGCCTATCAGTGCCATGTATTAGTGCTGCCTTTCAGTGCCCATCAGTGATGCCTGTCAATGCCCATTAGTGTCACCTACCAGTGCCTCCTCATCAGTGCCACCTATCAGTGTCCATCAGTGCAGCCTCATTAGCGCACATCAGTGAAGGAGAAAAATCACTTATTTACAAAATTTTATAACAAAAACTAAGAAAAAAAACATTTTTTTTTCAAAATTTTCAGTGGTTTTTGGTTTAAGAAAAAATAAAAAAAACCAGAGGTGATTAAATGCCACCAAAATAAAGCTCTGTCACAAAAAAATGATAAAAATTGCATATGGGTACAGTGTTGCATGACCGCTCAATTGTCATTCAAAGTGTGACAGCGCTGAAAGCTGGAAATTGGCAAGGGCAGGAAGGGGTATAAGTGCCCTGTAGGCTAGTGGTTAAACAAAGAGAAAAGACAACAATGCCACCTTTTTGAACAAACTTATAGCCAATCCCATCAAGCCTTCCAGGCGACCCCTTCCCCAGCCAACCGAGAAGCCCTAGATCGGTCTCAACTGGCCCTTGATCTTCTCACAGATCAAGCGGAGCTATCACTCCGTAGATCCCGACATAAATACTATACAAAAGCGAATAAACCGGGTACCTTTTTAGCTCTCTCGCTTCGCAGGCTTGATCAGATCACCAGACCTATCCTATTACGTACCTCATCTAGCAACCTCACTAGCAATCTGGAATGCATTTTACAAGTCTTCCACAAACATCTGTCACAACTCTACTCTTCCTCTACACCCTTTGACCCATCCCAGGCTGACACTTTTAGCATCCCTCTCCTTTCCGAAGTTATTGGCCCACCAGTTAACAGCTTTAGAACAGCCAATTACCCCAGCTGAAACCTTAAACGCTATTAAATACTTAAAACCCCGTAAGCGCCCAGGGCCAGATGGCTTTTCTGCCACCTATTACAAAAAATTCGCCCACCCCCTAACGCCAGTCCTTACTATTGCTTTCAATGCCATACTATCGGGCCATACCTTCAACCCAGAAACACTACAGGCCAACATCTCTATGATCCCAAAACCTAATTCTTATGACACACAGTGGTCCAATTACAGGCCAATCTCTCTTCTCAATATAGATATCAAACTGCTAGCAAAAATTCTTTCCATGCGCTTCAACTCGTGTATAGGATCCCTGATCCACAACGATCAAGTGGGCTTCATTCCAACTCGACAAGCTGGCGACATCAGACGCGCAACCCTTTTAGCACAGTTAGCTAGATCCCGCAATATTCCCGCCTGTTTCTTGTCCCTAGACATCCGTAAGGCATTTGACACAGTTTCGTGGCCCTATTTGCACTAAATCCTGCACCGATGGGGCTTTGGCCCTCACTTCCTATCCTGGATCTTTTCACTATACCGTGAGCCCTTAGCCACAATTAAATACCTAGGACATAGGTCTGCTCAATTTCCAATCTCCCGCGGCACCAGGCAGGGCTGCCCGTTATCCCCCTACTTTTCGCCTTGGCCATAGAACCATTGGCCCTTCTAGTTAGGGCTAATCCGGATGTCCGTGGCCTTGAGATTGGTGGCTCTCATCATAAATTGTCTTTTTGCGGATGATGTTCTACTCTCTCACTTCTCCTCTGATATCTTCTCCTCTCCTCTGGCTCCTTGAACAGTTTGGCTCACTTTCTGGCCTCCTAAATAATCCCCAGAAATCAGTAGCACTTAATATATCCCTACCCCCTAGAGATCTGGCCCATTTGAAACTGATCCTCCCGTTTTCCTGGTCACAGCACTCTATTCCTTTCCTTGGTATAAAACGGACTCCCAAATTATGAGATCTATACGCTGCCAACTATGCACCTATGTTAACCCATCTCACAGCCCTTATGACCAAATGGTCTTCTTTACCACTTGCTTGGCTGGGTAGGATAGCCGTCGTGAAGATGTCAATTCTTCCCAAAATTTTATATCTAATAATATCTATTTAGAATTCTTCCAACCTCGGTAGCTAAACATTATCTTCGTGTCTTACAGCGCCGCATTTTTTCCTACATATGGGGCTCCGGTCGCCCCCGAATACCTCGCTCAACCCTGTATCGTCCCAAAACTTGCAGCGGTCTTGGTCTCCCCGATGTTAGTAAATACTATCAGGCGGCACACCTAGCACAGTTACCCAAGTACCACGTGACCCACGAAATCCCTCAATGGGTTGTCCTCGAATCTATAGATTGTGACCCCCTGTCCACCTTTTATGGTTAAGACCTGTAGACCGTCGCTCGCTAACAAACCCCATCACATCTCACTTTGTCACTCTGGGATAAACTGAAATCCCGGACCGACCATTTCCTGCTAAGGAATAAATTTAAATCTTTCGCCTCATTGCGCGAGACACATGGCCTTCCAGCTTCCGAAATATTCAGATACTTGCAATTGCAACACTTTTACGTTCCATACACTACAACAACCAGCCAGACCAACCTTATGTCTCCCTTTGAGCGGGCTTGTCACAAAGACCCCCATAGACGAGGCCTCATCTCATGCTTGTACTCCCTTCTAACAACCTCAGCCACCATGTCTTCTCCTTCATACACCCGTAAATGGGAGGCAGACCTTGGCCGACAATTGGGACAATATATGGTCTAATACCAAATCGTCCATACCATATTTAGTAGCTCTAGAAACCAATTATAAAGTCTTAACCCGCTAGTACTTGGTCCCAGCGAGAATTGCAAAGTACGCACCAAACTACTCCCCCCGCTTGCTTTCGAGGCTGTGTAGACCCAGGTACACATTGTTATTGTTACACATTGTAGGTACACATTGTTATCTTTGTTATTTTGTCAAGACTTAGCGCAAAAACGCTTCAGCCAGACCCCGTCACAGCTCTGCTCAATTTACGCCCCCCCCCCCCCCCCCCCCCCCCCCCCGGGGTCACCAATTCACAATTCAAACTTATCCTGCAAGTTACCACAGCAGCCAAACAGGTCATAGACAAATCTTGGAAATGATTTTTATTCTTATACAGGATTTATATAGCGCCAACGGTTTGCTCAGCGCTTTACATTATTAGTGGGAGACAATACAGTAACAATACAGTTCAATACAAGAGGGATTTGAGGGCCCTGCTCCTTGGAGCTTACAATCTAGGAGGGAGGGGTTAATGGTACAATAGGTAATAACTGTTGGGAATGGAGTGGTTGGAAGAGTAGAGGATTCCAGTATTAGCAGAGGGCGGGATAGGCTTCCCTGAAGAGAGAGGTTTTCAGTGATCGCCTAAAGGTAAGTAGAGTAGGCGATAATCTGATAGATTGTGGTAGGGAGTTCCAGAGGATGGGGGACTCCCTGGAGAAGTCCTTGAGACTAGCATGGGAGGAGGAGATAAGGGAGCTAGAGAGTAGGAGGTCTTGCGAGGAGCAGAGAGTACGGTTTGGGTGATATTTAGAGACAAGATCGGTTGTGTAATTTGGGGCAGTGTTGTAGACAGCATTATATGTCATTGTTAGTGTTTTGAATTTTATCCGTTGGGCAACTGGAAGTCAGTGGAGGGATTGGCAGAGAAGGGTGGCAGATACAGAACGGTTAGTAAGGTGGATGAGTCTGGCAGCAGCATTCATGATAGACTAGAGTGGGGATAGCCTGCGATGAGGTAGGCCAATGAGGAGGGGAGTTACAATAGTCGAGGCAAGGGAAATCTCTCTCCCTAAGTATCGTAGTTGTTAAAAATAGAGTTACACAGGCTATGATTCACGCTTAAGTGGAAGCTACAATTTTAGACACTATCCCTAAATTCTTGAGTGTTTGGAACCCATGGGTTGAGTGTTTTCTCCCGTCAAACTTCGACGACTCACTTCTTACTCCATGATAAACCTCCTTACTTTATGCTACCCTGGTACCATCTTATACCTGTGCCACACATTATTCCATCTCTTGTAACTATTTGTGAAGTCATTCTCTTCCCCCTCCCATTCTCACTTTCCTCCGGACCTTCCCTACTTGTTTCCCCTCCTCATCCTCCCCCTCCCCCCCCCCCCCCCTCCTGCTTTCCCTTTTTTCTTTTCCCCTATGACGCCTCTCCATATGCCATCCTGCATAATTTGAGGTCCACATGTTCCGATCCCCTTGTACAGCATTGGAGAGTATGTTTTTCCTTCTTTTCAAAATTCTGCTTGTAATTACGTACAATGTTTTTGTTCACCTTCTGCCATTTGTAACGCCAAACTGTTGTACCAGCATTTTCCTCCTCTCCCCTCCCTTGTATAGACATAAATACCGCGGATACTGTTGTCTATGACCTTATGTCTGCGAAATGTCTTTTACCTTTGTAGTTTCCGTTTGTTAAAATGACAATAAAATATTTGAACAAGGAGGCCAAACACATGAGACCAAAAACGAAGCAGTCTCGGGCATGACCACCAGATATGCAATACATCATCACGATGGCCACAACCCCGAAAGCATCAATTACTGCAGGCAGGGTTTGCCTGGGCCAAACGAGCCGAAACCCAATACCAACAAAACAATACTTTGTATGCCGCCTCCAGCGTGGTCATATTAAATGAACATTTAGCTATAAGAGACCAGGCCCTATTCCAGTCCTCCAGATCCACAATTACCCCCAAGTCGCGCTCCCACTGAACAACATATGAAAGAGAAGTATGCATCGTGCGCCTGTTCAAAGCTGCATAAAGAAGAGAAATAAGGCCCGGGGTGCCCGGACGCTGTTGGCAAAGTAGTTCAAAGGCAGATTTCTGGTACAGGACAGCAGAAGTGCTCCGCAATAATATCAACCAATGCCGCAATTGAAGGTAATGAAAAAATTCCGCCGGAGCATCCCGTGACTCCCGAAGAAAATTCCATGTAGGGAAGGGACGAGAAGTCAAAAAGTGTCACACCTGCGAAAAACCGTTGGCCATCCACCAAGGAAACGCCCTTGGTTGATCTAAACCCGGTGGGTGGTTAGTAATTGGAAGCAAAGGCAAGAAAGGTGACAGGCCACTGGAGTAACGTACCAAGTCCCACACTTGTAAGCCATGGAGCAAAATCGGACTCAGTGCTGTAGGGGGCAGGGGGAAGCTATAGAAGTGTCAATATCACAATAGGGGCACAATTAGGTAGTTCCAGCAGGACCCAGAGAGGAACGTCTGAGGAAGCATGCAACATAGACAGAGGGGCAATCTGGATCGCCTGA